AACACATTTCCATGGAAATTTGAACAACAGCTGAAACAATTTAAAAGAAGTGTGCATTTAAATATTTGACAAGTTGATAAATTACATCAGTATGAAAAACCAGGACATTAGGCCACAGCCAGTCCACCTCCTGAAACTGATATAGCGTAGAAACAAGGCCTCCCTTGTCTTTAGGCCTGTGTTGGCCTTCTCTCCACAGGCAAATTTTTAAGTGACATCTCATTTCATAAATCTATTCTCTCCCTCATCCCAAATCTCCCCATATCATCTTCACATTAACCACTATTTACCGATCTCTATTCAGCAATTCAGAGTGCTCGTTTCCATAATCGGCCCTCATTTCCTTTCAATTCCATCACCTACATTGCTCCACCTGTTTTCAACACACAACTCATTCCCCTCAAGCAGGACACTGAGAAGATCTTCCCCAACCCAATTTGTCAGCCAACATCTCTTCTTTAGTGTCATTTGATTTCACTATTAATTCCATGGCCCACCCATCGTGAAATGAAGTTAAACTTGTCTAGATTTGTGATAAACTCCTGTCCTTTCTTTTTATCAGATCCCTGATAGGAATGCACTTCCCCTGACCCTGCATCTTGCCTAGAATCTGTCATGCCATACCATCCTTCGCTCTATCACCTCTCACTTTCTCAGCTACACAAACATCCACACCTGCATTTCTCCTTTCAAGAACTGTTTAAAATCAACTTTATTCCATTATCATCCCAAACATTATCTTCCTTGATGCTCAGTGCTGAAATATGATATTATGGTTTTCTCTTGTGTAACGTCAAATAAAAATTCACAATAAACACACTATGCCGCTATATTTACATGGCTCTTGGCCATTTAAATCAATGGGACAAGCAATAATAACAACTAGCATATGCTTGCACCAACTTTTATTACATACTGGTAGAGCGTCCGCCCGGAGAGCGGAAGGTCCGGGGTTCGACCCCCAGCCGCATCATACCAAAAGACGTTACAAAATGGTACTTGTTGTTACCCTGTCTGGCGCTCGGCATTAAGGGGCTAAAACAAGGACTGGTCGGCTCCGAGTCAGTATGCTGTGTCTGAGTGGGGTATTCATGTTAAACTGCGGCATGGTATTTCAGAGTGCTAGCACTATAAATCAGCATCAGTCCGTCCGCTCACACATACACACACACACACGTGCATGCACGTCGCTATATAAAAGCAATAATCTTGGACACGACGTTAAACCCAATTTCACCACACCTATTACATACTGGTCAATATCATGAGTAAACATTACTGTACCTGTTTTTCTAGACGGACATACAGTCCCCGAAATAAAGCCATATATAAGGTCAGAAACAAATTTTGGAAATAAAAACGACAAAACCTTTACCATAATCATAAGAAATCGATGTTATAGCTTTGTGTGTTTATGAATCAGTATCAATTAGGGACGACACCAAGTGTTAAACAAGCCATAAAGGAAATCTCCAGTACTGTACAGGCTGCTGAAGCTGACAGGGGGATGAGTATGGTTGTTGTCTCATACTCTGGCATCTGTGAGGGAGACAATGTTCTCTAACAGTGGGTGTCTGGTGTCATGGTTCATACTCTGGCATCTGTGAGGGAGACAATGTTCTCCAACAGTGGGTGTCTGGTGTCATGGTTCATACTCTGGCATCTGTGAGGGAGACAATGTTCTTCAACAGTGGGTGTCTGGTGTCATGGTTCATACTCTGGCATCTGTGAGGGAGACAATGTTCTCTAACAGTGGGTGTCTGGTGTCATGGTTCATACTCTGGCATCTGTGAGGGAGACAATGTTCTTCAACAGTGGGTGTCTGGTGTCATGGTTCATACTCTGGCATCTGTGAGGGAGACAATGTTCTCCAACAGTGGGTGTCTGGTGTCATGGTTCATACTCTGGCATCTGTGAGGGAGACAATGTTCTTCAACAGTGGGTGTCTGGTGTCATGGTTCATACTCTGGCATCTGTGAGGGAGACAATGTTCTCTAACAGTGGGTGTCTGGTGTCATGGTTCATACTCTGGCATCTGTGAGGGAGACAATGTTCTCCAACAGTGGGTGTCTGGTGTCATGGTTCATACTCTGGCATCTGTGAGGGAGACAATGTTCTTCAACAGTGGGTGTCTGGTGTCATGGTTGCTATTATTTCCAGACTAATGTTTAGTACTATTTGTTGGTTTCCTACAGATTTGATGTCCACTGTCCACAAATAAAATGGTAATGTATTACATAGGATCCCTTCAATCAGCAGTAAACATATATTAATGTTTTTCAATTTTATAGACACCTTTTCCACACTGATTCATAATGAATTTTCTAGTTCACATTCTTCTTGTCACTTTCAGGTAAAATATTTATATAAACATCTCACCTACATAGGTTTAACACTAACAGGGATCCAGATAATGTTTTCATTCACTGAGTATTTATTACTCATTATCATTTACACTGGGTATATTTTTACTGCCTGGTGTCCAGAGTAGACATATTTTTAAAATTATTCTGCTCAAAATGCTGCTTCAGGTGAGTCCTAATTTGTATCTGTTCATGTGCTATTCCTAGTGTGTAACACGTCGCATGAACTCACAACAGTGTTATACATGACTACTTAACAACAATCGAGAGGTAGCAGCGTTTTTATGCATTATTCACTGCAGCAGAGTTCATGTATGGGTGATGCATGCATTCAGTCAGTAAATAGAGATCTGTAAAGAAGTACATGTACACAAGTTGAAAAGGATACACTGGTAAATTATTCAGAATGTTGTCATACAATTGGGTTTTTAAATTTTGTATGCATATTTGTACACAGGAAAATCAAACTTAATTTGGTAATGGTGATTTATGTTGTGTGGTTCAGGGATATTTGCAGGTTATCTGCATTAATGAGTTTGTTTGAATTCATGTTTCAATAGAATCTATAGGACAACACAGAGTTTCACTTGACTTTCTCCAAGAGGCTTTGGATGCTGTTTTTTTTCAGTTGCTTTCATCAGACATGAGAGATGTTTAATCATGTGCATAGCGGGCCAGCCTCCCTACTCTTCATCCATCATTACTGTACAGGGGTAAGTTTGGTGGCTGCTGCAGTCTACTTGACCTGGCTGACATCTGGTATCCATTGGTGATCCAGTATATCCCTCCAGTTGGCCAAGTGCAGGTCACTCCATTACCCCACCAGGGATTAGGCCACCAGTACGAGGTACTCCCTGAACCACTTCACTGCCTCTTATGCTTCACAGTTAAAGGTGCACGGCCTACTTCTGTGTCATTGTGGAAACACTTTGTACATGAAAGATCTGTGTTGAGACAGACCCCAGACAATGTCACAGCTGAGTCGGCATTTTATTGTAAAAATTTTTTTATATTTTTTCAAAGTATTCGTCAGTACTGATTATTAAGTTTAAAAGTCTTTGGAAAGTATTTAACAATCTTATTTATTGTATAAATATCTGTTTAGTTTAATATCATAGTTCATTATGTTCAAGTGTACATTACGACTCATTATGTCCATGAGTTAATTCTGTCAGTTAGTTCATTTTGTCCATACTTTCATGATGGTGTCTAATACTTGATAAAGACCACTTGTTCCTAATATCCAATACTTGATAATGTCCAATACTTGATAAGGTCCACTGGTTCACAATGTCCAATACTTGATAAGGTCCACGACTCATTATGTCCATGAGTTAATTCTGTCAGTTAGTTCATTTTGTCCATACTTTCATGATGGTGTCTAATACTTGATAAAGACCACTTGTTCCTAATATCCAATACTTGATAATGTCAAATACTTGATAAGGTCCACTGGTTCACAATGTCCAATACTTGATAAGGTCCACTCGTTCATGATGTTAAATACTTGATAAGGTCCACTGGTTTATAATAGCCAATACTTGATAAGGTTCATTACATGATAAGGTCCACTGGTTCATAATGTCCAATACTTGATAAGGTCCTCTGGTTCACAATGTCCAATACTTGATAAGGCCCACTGGTTCATGATGTCCAATACTTGATAAGGCCCACTGGTTCATGATGTCCAATACTTGATAAGGCCCACTGGTTCATGATGTCCAATACTTGATAAGGTCCACTGGTTCATGATGTCCAATACTTGATAAGGTCCACTGGTTCATGATGTTAAATACTTGATAAGGCCCACTGGTTCATGATGTCCAATACTTGATAAGGCCCACTGGTTCATGATGTCCAATACTTGATAAGGTCCACTGGTTCATGATGTCCAATACCTGATAAGGTCCTCTGGTTCATGATGTCCAATACTTGATAAGGTCCACTGGTTCATGATGTCCAATACTTGATAAGGTCCACTGGTTCATAATGTCCAATACCTGATAAGGTCCACTGGTTCATAATGTCCAATACCTGATAAGGTCCACTGGTTTATAATGTCCAATACTTGATAAGGTCCACTGGTTTATAATGTCCAATAATTGATAAGGTCCACTGGTTCATAATGTCCAATACTTGATAAGGTCCATAATTACATCATGATGATTATGACATTATTGTGTGTTAACCACTGAATGTTCAGGGTTCTTAAGATGGATTCTTGTTCTTTTCAATCATCACTCAGAATTCACAAAAAGTCCCAATGAGTTGCTCACCGAGGGCTAATTCATGTTTCAGACAAGAAATATCTATTCCTACAGCTAAAAAACAAACGTTGAGGAAATGATAAATGCTGGGTGTAAACCTCAAGCCAAGAAATGTGGCACTTTATATTAAACCAAAATATGTCAAAGTTGGGGCCGCCCATACTCTTCAAACCAAAATGCAAAGTGTTGCATCTTGGGTTAATTTTAACTGCACAACAGGGCAATCAGCCAATTACAACAGTAGGTGCAGAACCGCCATTTCATCTTTGTAAGAATGGTGTTAGGTGGAAAAAGACGGCTTTGGTGCCACGCTGGCGAAATCCTTACCTTTGACAGCAATTATGAATTATGTGAAAATGTGCATACTTACGTTTGGATCTGTTGCTAAATTTCTGTGATAATATGAGCTTGGATATGTGGACCTTTTGGCTACTTTTCTATGTTGAAAATGGTAATAATCTGGCATAATCTGAAAATAGAAGAAAATCAAATGATTAGGTGTGTGTTGGTGTGTTTTGGGTAAAAATATTGTACATAAATATTGCATTTATAAATAATTATTGTGCGGGGTACGTGTACAGGGTAGATCATATACAAATGACATATGGTGGCTAGAAGTACATCATAAACATATTTAATGAAGCATAATAATAAAAGTATTGAGTGAAATGATCATAATATTTGACATTTTGACTTTATGTAAAGTATGATGGAGCTAGAGAATAATTACTAAAATGTGACATTAACACAGAATAATATTACTGATATACATCAATATTTATACAAACTTCTATAATCAGATTGATTTCAGCATCTAGCAGAGATTTATTATTATTATTATTTTTATTATTTTTAGGGAAGGGTTTTGTTGCTCAAATTTAATATTTAATTATTTTGTTCTTCAGACAGTTTGGTTACCACTTAGAATTGTTGCTAAATTGGGTTGAGGTCCTACATTCATAATGTTATGAACACAGGTTGTCTCATTTGACCTTAATTTTTACATTCAAGAAAGTCGCGAAAAGCACTTCTGCATGGTGAAATCTTTATTAAGTCTTTCTTCAGTTAAAGCCATATCATTAGATGGTGTTCCTATACATGTATCACCAGCAAATAATCAATGTTAAAGCATGTCTGTTATGTCATTTATGTAAACTAGAAATAAGAATGGACCAAATACAGAACACTGGGGTATCCCTGCCTAGAAACAAGAATGAACCCAATACAGAACCCTTGGGTATCCCTGCCTAGAAACAAGAACAGACCCAATACAGAACCCTGGGGTATCCCTGCCTAGAAACAAGAACAGACCCAATACAGAACCCTGGGGTATCCCTGCCTAGACACAAGAACGGACCAAATACAGAACCCTGGGGTATCCCTGCCAATTAATAAAAACAGACCCAATACAAAACCCTGGGGTATCCCTGCCAATTAATAAAAACAGACCCAATACAAAACCCTGGGGTATCCCTGCCAAGAAATAATAACAGACCTAATACAGAACCCTGGGTGATCCCTGCCAAGAAATAAAAACAGACCCAATACAAAACCCTAGGGTACCCCTGCCAAGAAATAAAAACAGACCCAATACAGAACCCTGCCAAGAAATAAAAACAGACCCAATACAAAACCCTGGGGTATCCCTGCCTAGAAATAAGAACGGACCAAATACAGAACCCTTGGGTATACCTGCCTTGGTCAGTTTTTTACTTGATAAACTACATTAATAAATGATAACAGAGTAGTTACTAGTGTTCATCAGTTATGTGGCAAATGCCATGGCATAAAACTAGTGCTGTAATACTGTTCCATCTTGGTTTCAACCACAAGTACATGTTCAAGATAAGTTAACTACATGTACCTACATAGCAGTAGCGTAGGTTGAGATTACAGGGATTTATCTGGACCTGCTAAGAGGCCAATATTCGACCCCAAGTCTGCAACAAATGTTATTAAAAATTCCCAATTTGGAACTAAACATGTCCCTATTCATGTTACAATGTTTTAATTTGTATGACTAATAACTAAATTTATGACTTTGTGGAAGTTATCTGTATTCCCTTATAACAAGACCAATTGATAGGAACAGGTTTTAATGCTTCCATTTACATCATTGCATCAATACAATCTCAAAATACCTCTGAATTTAAGAAAATATGAACTTTAAAAGAAATCTGAATTTTGAACAAAATATTTTTTCTCAATTTGCCTACCTATGCCAAAGGCACTTAGTTAAGAATCCCAGATAAATCCCTTGATTATGACATCAACAGGCATTTGGAGGTTCATGCAGTAACAGAGTAACATCACAACTTTAGTTACAAACTCCATAGGGCTCTATGCTAAATCAGGGGTGGTGCGTAGCCTTGTGGTTAAAGCGTTCCCCCGTCACACAGAAGGTCAGGGTTCGATTCCCCACATTGGTACAATGTGTGAAGACCATTTCTGGTGTCACACGCCATGATATTTCTGGAATTTTTCAAAAAGTGGCATAAAACCATCTTAATCAACTATGTTAAATCAGATAATCACAAATATGTTTTATGATTTTATTTCCTCACAAACAACATTACACTGGCAATGATACACAAGTGATGACTACTGTTATACTTTTTTCATTGTTTAACTTGATTTATCACATAATTACGATTTAGCGTCTCTTCGCGAAACTGTCATTGGGTGCTCGAGTGAAGTGGCTAAGAAAATGTGCGACACCATGTAACTTTAATGGCCAAAGACACACGCAGCAATACTGCACTGGTAGTGACACACTAGCCTTATTTCTAATGGCCAAGTTGCCTACATTCGTAACTTGAATGAGAATCAGAGAAGCACATGACATTTACAGGTGCTCCAAGTTGTTATTGTTCTTAGAAATCCCAATATATCCTGATGCCAGCTACCATATGTGGTTTCACTGGCATGATATCCATTGTCGACAGTGCTCATGAAATGAACAATAATAGACAATTATTTGATTGATTCTCAACCCCTGTCACTGACAGTGAAGGTAACACCTTGTATGCTACAGCCACCATGCTTCTCAATGCTGCTTCATGGCCATGGGGGGCAGTCGGGTAGCCTAGTGGTTAAAACGTTCGCTCGTCATGCCGAAGATCCGGGTTCAATTCCAGAGCTGGGTACAACGTGTGAAGCCCATTCCTGGTGTCCACCGCCGTGATATTGTTGGAATATTGCTAAAAGCAGCGTAAAACCATATTCACTCACTCACTCACTCACTCATGGCCATGGTAAAGAGTCATTAGGAACTTAGTAGCTTATTAATTCAATCAATCATGTTACGTGTCAATGTGTTGGACTAATCTACAGTTATAGATATGGTGATGGCTTAAGAACATATAGAAAGCACTTATCAAAGATATTTAATGTGAAAAAGTTACTATATTCCAATAACATAATTATTATCTTAATGACAATAAAATAATGCCCATTTTCCAAGAAATGTTGGACTTTTTACGCTTATATTAGACAATAATCAAATGATCATATCCATTGTCACTGTGTGAAATCATTAAAATAGTTTGAAATTTAAGTCATCAATTAATCCCTGTGCAATTTATCCTATTTCATGGATGATCCATGAACACTATGTGTCAGTGATTCATTCATATAACTTTCTCCTCTATTTTGGCATTTACGCTTTATGGAATCTGTTTTGGCAGACCGGTTATTCTCTGCCGCTGACATTTTACCTGAATTTTGAAAAAAAGGTTTCAATAAATATTATAAATGTTTGATTGAAGTTGTGCTTTTAGCATGTTTAGTATCATCTTGAATATATATTTGTAATATGAGTTAGTCAAAAGGTTTAAAAGGAGATTAACTTTACATATATTCATACATTATTGCTTTCCAGATCTACATTTTTGCATATTGATCAAGAAAATATTTAAAACAAAAAATTAAATTGTCAATATATATTCATAAAAAAATAGTTATCTTTTATACAGGCTACATCTGATGAAACTCTATATATAGATCTGTGTGAAATATAGTGAGTGAGTGAGTGAGTGAGTGAGTGAGTGAGTGAGTGAGTGAGTGAGTGAGTGAGCATGATTTTACGCCACTTTTAGCAATAATCCAGCAATATTATGGCAGGGAACACCAGAAATAAGGCTTCACACCTTATACCTATATGGGAAGCAAAGCGCTTTGACCACAAGGCTACCCCTCGCAAGAAAGAGTAATTCACATGCCTAGACATCGCTAACACCTGTCCTGCTACATGTCAACTGCCACTGCACCATCCCTATCACTCAATCTCATCTCAGGGACATCATAGCACTCCATCCAAAACATATCCACACACCAAATCAGATAAAATAGGCCAGAATTACCAACGATCACAGTGTAATCTGAATGAATTATCCCCAAGTCTTCTACCTATCCTTACTAACCACAAAGTTCAGTACACCCAAGCAAACAGATTATAACAAGCAAGGTAAAAAGCTCCATCTCTATCACGCACAGGGTGCAAATGATATGTGCGATCCGCATGTCCTTTCACTGTGGCTCATCGCAATAGTAGCATGGCTGTTTACACAGGCTAGCTATCTATAATAATCCCTGGAGAAGCATATTGTGTGGCCCCTTCATACAGGTTGCTGTGTCAATACAGCTCTGCTCCCACCAAAAAGGGCACATCTTGCTATCAGTATTAGAAAATTTGATACATTAATAGCACAGCAACTCATACTTGTACCCACTGGTACAGAATTAAAGGGGATATAGAGAACTGCAATATAGAGTCCTAGCAAGATTGATTCAATTCGTTTGAAATCAACTTCATTAGTGTGCTGACTCAAGTTTTAATGATGTAAATGATTCTAGCAGTTACTGATCATCCAAAGCAGAGTGGGTGAGTGGGTGAGTGAGTGAGTGAGTGAGTGAGTGAGTGAGTGAGTGAGTGGGGTTTACGTCGCTCTGAACATCATTCCAGTTATATCACGGCGTGTCAGCTCGAAGCTAGAAGGGATGCAGGTCTCAGACGTTTACCACTTTCACGATGACAGACTCTAGCAATATGAAAAAAAATGGGTGTTCCTCAAATTTTTTTAGTAGAATATGTACATGGAACAGAGCGAACATGTCCTGTTTTTTGCATGGAACTAACAACATCTTCCACCTGGACTGGAGGGGGGACCACATCATGGGGCAGAGTCTCCCTTTAACTTCCCAAAGAATCCATTTTTGCAACAATGATAATGATGAAATAATTATTATAACCAATTCCTATTAAACTAAAATTCTTGTAAGGAACTTACCATTTAATATTCAAGGGGACTGTTATTTTGCATTTAAGACAGAATAATTTTTCAGTTAATGCTGAAGAAACAAAAAAATCCTTGATAGAAAAGAACCACACTGAATGTTTATTGTGGTTTTGATGTGTGAAACAGCTGAGGACAAAACCTTTGCTTGTATTTTTGGTAACAGATCCTTACC